TGTGTCTCTGAACAAAAATTAGTGTGGAAGTGGGAACTTGTTTAAGAATTCGAGGAGCCTCACCACCCCTCAGACAACCCTCCTGCCCACCCCACCCCTCTGCAACTTGCTTGCTAAGCACATTCACTTTTTCCTCATGGCAGTCCCTCCACACTTCAAGACAGCTTCTGACAAGACAGGAATGAGTGAAATGAGGGACAGACAAGAGGAGATGCACTAAACTCCCACTCCCAATTTCAAATTCCTGGGAGAGTTGGATAACTGTTTCTGTCCCCATAAGCCTGTTCACCTCAGGGAGCCCAGCGATAGGGAGTCCAGACACAGAAAGAAACTGAGTCTTGGGAAACCCACAGTGACCCCCTACAGCTGACCCCAGAGGGTTCTGAGGCCCTTCTCTGCCTCTAGTCCATGCTACTCCTCCCCACCGAGTGAGTCCCTCTGAGGGAAGATGGAAATGAAGAGTTCCACACCTCCATGGTGTGGACTGCTTAGAAAAAGATACCCATAAAATTTCAAGAGACAGAGCTTGAGAGATGAACTTGGGCTGAGGTGGGGCCCTCCCAACCTGCGACGTCCATGCCTTAGACTCCTGGCCCACTGGGAAGTCCCCAGGGGGGCTACCTGATTTATGGATAGAGCCTTGTGATACATGAGCAGAAGCAGACTTAGGCTGTGATGGGGACAGGGTCTGGAGAGCCAGGTCACTCTCTAGGAGCCAGGCAGGGCCCTCCGCCACATACCAGCCTGTTCCTGGAGCCAGAGCCCAGGCGGTAAGGGGTTAACCTCCTAGCTTGTTTTCCTTTGGTTTCCTTGGGCTGCCAGGGCTGTGTTGGGCCATGAGCGCCATCTATCGGCCTCTAGAGGTCATAGCTCTGACTCCCAGCTCAATTCAGGCTCTCTGATCTTTCAACCCTTCACCTGCCTCCATGCTCTCAGAATAGGAAAGAGTTAGATGTCTAGCTGCTTGGCTCCAACGCAGAAATAGATATCTGGGGTTGGAGAAGTGAGAGCCATGTTTTCCCCCTCCCCAAATATCACGTGTCACCCTTGTCAGATCCCACCACTTCTGGGCTGGGGAACCCCACAGGTTTTCCTGTTTGAATTTCAGTGTAGCCATCTCCCCCAGTTCCACTACACTGGGCAGTTACTCTCCCTCAGTCAGCCTAATGAACATGAAAATAGCATTGGAGAGGAGAGGCAACCTAGCATAGTCCTTTAGAATGTGGGCTCTGGACTCAGTCTGCCTGGATTTGAACCCCAGCTTTGCCAATTTACTTGTGGTGACTGTGGGCAAATTATTTAACTTCTCTGTGCCTCAGTGAGCCTAGTTGTTAAATGGGATAATTGTTGTAATCCATGTCTTCTTTTGTAATAATTAAATTACTTAATTGCATAATGTGCTTAGTATTGTGTCTAGCACAGAGTCAATGCTCTGCAAGGCTAATGGTTGTTGTTATGACCATGTGCCAGGTTCTCAGGCAGATGCCAGTCTGAGGATTCAAGATCCAGACCGTAGAGGCATGTCAGACACACAGGCACAGAGGACAGGATGGGGCAACTCATCCCTGGCTATTTCCACAAAAACAGTGACCCATTTGGGCTAGGGTTGGGGGCTGGAAGTTCAGAACTACAAGAAAAGTACTTTGAAGGTGTCCAAGATCAGCAGGAGACAGGATGACAGAGTTGAAGAAAGAAATACCTTGAGGTAAAGATACACAAAGGGAAGGTGTTCAGGAAGAGGCATTAAGAGACCTACAAAAAGGCCCTGGCTGGTGTAGCTCAGTGGATTGAGCGCGGGCTGTAAACCAAAGCATCACAGGTTTGACTCCCAGTCAGGGCACATGCCTGGGTTGCAGGCCATGGCCCCCAGCAACCGCACCTTGATTCTCTCTCTCTTTCTCCCTCCCTTCCCTCTCTAAAAATAAGTAAATAAAATATTTTTTAAAAAAGAGAAACCTATAAAAGGACCTAAGTTTAGGGAAGTGAAGAGATGTTCCTGATGTGTGGGGTGAGCAAGGGCCATTGCATCTAAGTGCAGATACAAAGTCTCAGGCTTTGATCAGGTTCTCCTAGCTTCCCAAGATACATTGTATCACAGCCCTATCCTAGCTCTGTGGGAACTTCACCCTCAAAGGCTTCCCCCCAGCCTGCTGAAATGGGGAACACCATCTGCAGGTCCTACAGGTCCCATTCCCACTTCCCTCTTGGGACTAGAAAACCAGGACAGCCAGGCTGTGAATATAACCATTTGTTCATTAATAGGTTCAGCCATCTCCCTGTCTCTGTGTCCTCTGTATCTCTGCCTTCATCTACCTTTCTGGGAAATGGGTGCATATAATTGTTGTCCAAGAGGAGACAGTGTGAGGGAGAGTGACACTGTCCCAGTTAAGGCAGAAATGCAGATCCAGTGGGGTCCCTAGTCCAGCCTAACCACCCCAATACCCCCATCTCTAACACCAAGGCAGCACAGACCAGCTTTATGGATTGATGGTCACTTAACTGGAGGCAGGTGACAGCTTCCAAGTCTCCCCAGCTTAGTTGTTCTCCCTCTCCTGGAGCCTGGATGCCTGGGTCCCCAGGAGAGGAGCAGGGACAGGCTGGATGGGCTGATTTGCATCGCTTAGTTGGGAAGCAATTATCGGAGGAGCTGTCAGCTCAGCGCAGCTCTCTCCTTGCTAATCGGATTTCACCAGAGCCCGGGGCTGGGGGGGCTGAGTAATTTGGCTTGATGCAGTGGTGGGAGATGTCGGGCCAGGAGGCTGGCCAATCTGTCTGAGTGGTGTTAGAGTTGTCCAGAGCAATTGTTCTGAGGAGACCACACAGACATCAGACAAGAGAAGGCAAGTGACAGAGCCAAGGGGATCAGACTGGTCCCCAGTCCTGCAGCAGGAAGATGGAAGTTACATGTTTGGCAGAGTGGGAGGAGTATTTCCCACAGATTGAGCCGAATCAAGCAACTAAGAGGAGTCAAGATGAGTCTGGGAGGGAGGCCAAGTAGCCAAATGGGAGGAGGACCCAAGAACCCCAACTTCCAGCCAACCCACCGCCTAGGCCCTGCCCTCCCCAGTGCTCTCTGAGCGAAGCGGCAACAGAACAGGGTCTTGACCAAGGATGAGTCTTTCCAGCCTTGCTCTCCCCAGCCCCGGCGGTGCTCCCAGACCACACTTTCTCTGCCCCTGGCCCAGGCTCTGTCACTTGCCTTCTCTTGTCCCTGCAGTCCTCTTGAACCTGTCTCCTTCCTACCCACACTGCCCCATTTCTACCCCTCCCCAAGTCAGCAGACTGCAGACCCTTCTCCCTGCCTCTGTCCTCCATTCCACACCTTTCAAAACAGTGACAAGGATGATAACAATAGCTAACCTTTACTGAGTTCTCCTACATCAAACGGCACCCTAATTACTTGATGTGGATTCTCCGATTTAACCCTCATGCTAACACTGTGGGGGGCCCACTCTTGTACCCCATTTACTGACAAGGACACTGCTGCTGACCAAACTCCCTGAAGGAAGGACACACCTGATCTTTGCATCCCGATCTACGAGGGCAAGTCTGACCTGTGGTTAGTGCACAGTAAATGTCTGTTTACTGAATCGAGGATCAAATGAATGATTTACCCTGTTATTTACTTCTGGCTGGCCTCCAGGGCACATCCCTGTCCCTGGCTTGGCCTCTCCAGCCTCTCACATTCTGACCCTCACCATCTCAGCTTGACCTCCCTCACACCTCTCCACACACTCTGGGCTCCAACATGTTGGAAAGCTCTACTTTCCAACCGCATCCTCTCCTGCCTTTGCAGAATGGCCCATCTCGTCCCCTCCCCTGGTTCATTCTTGCCTTCTCATCTCTGCCACTGAATACGTTCTACCCTCTCCCCAGCCCAGCACCAATGCCACTGACTCTCAGAAACGTTCCCTGGTCTTCCCTTTGCTTGTGCCTCCTTGGTGACCCTTGTCCCAAACTGTGGAGCGTTTCACTAATTGCCAAAATGCCTTATGGCACCTATAAGACCATGTGTTTTAAGAGCTCAACACTCAGTCTCCTGAGCACAGGTCCACTCCCTTGTATCTAGTACTTGCTCAATAAATGCCTGTTGACCACACGAATATCCACTCTCTATTTTTGTCTGTCTCATTCAGACATGCTCTTATGGTGGGTTGAAAGGAGCACTGAACTTTCAAGGAAACTTGGAGTTAGGGGTCTGGCACTTACCAGCAGTGTGAACTTAGGAAGATCATTACTACTCTGAACCTAGGGCCGGTCATTTCATTCTTCACCTGGATGAGAGGATGACAGTGCCGACCTCAGAGAACATGGGACACATCCTCATCTTATCTGCTCAGGGTCTGTCTCTGAAGCTGTGAGGATTTGACTGACTGTCTCCATCTTTCTGCCTCACTGCTGAACCCGTCTCACTGCTGAGCCTCTGCCTCCCTGCCGCCCATAAATTCAGGCACAGAGCCAGAAGTCCTACCACTCAGCTCCCTCACTCAGGCATGTCAATTTTCCTGATGCTACCTACCACTCCCAGGGGTGTCCTCGCCCTTTCTCAGGGAGCCCAGAGGACCAGGCCCACCTTGGCTCCAACAGCACCTTAAAAACTGAGACTTTGAGTTCCCTCTCCGATAATATTAGTAATAAAGAAACAAGGCAGTGGGCTCAGAACTGGATGCAAATTGGCCCCAATTCTCAGCCCAAGAAAGAACGCCTGAGCTATGCACCCAGAGAAATACTGTGCTCGTTTGCATGTCATTTGCATTATATTTACATGTGATCAATTTCACGTTCAAATGCACAATCCTCCCTCCCCAGTTTTTCTCCCCAATGGTCCCCTCAGCTGCTGCCCCCATCTTTCCCCCAGCCCCTACCCCACTTCCCCTAGCCCCTGTCGCAACCTTCCTCATCTTTTTCCTTCTTCCTGCCAGGGTCCAAAGCGTCCCCCTCCCTTCCTTACTGCAAAGATCCACTTGCTCAACACCCAGAATAGATTCCTGGGGTCTTACCCCTAGTTCAAGAGGGGCATCCTTGCCTGCCCCCTCCCGCCATGAGCCGGGCAGGCGCAGCAGACAGCAAGCGCGCCTCTCAGCAAATCCCGGCCCCATTCAGCCTGGTGATTAATGGCGCTGCCCTCCCCATGAACCTGCCTTTAATACTGAGGAAGTTATGAAACCGCTATACATCAGCAGCTCCGGCCCCGCTGCCCCCGCCCGCCGCCTCCTCCTCTCCTCCACCCCCCACCCTCCAGCTCCCTCTTCAAAATCTCATTTGGGCTCCTGCGCCTGGGCCCACCCCTCCTCTGGCCTTTGCTGGGGGGAGGGGGGTGGCTGCCCCTGCTGTGGTCCAGTGAGGACCCACATCTCATTTTCCCTTCCTCTTTCCCCCCTGCTCCGCCCTCTCTCCCTCCCCACCCCCCACGGCTGCATCTCCGGACCCATTTAGAATTGCTGACATTTTATCTGCATTACATACATCACTCCGTCCCCAGCAGCCATCTCTCATGGATTGTCGGAGGGGGGACGCGGGGTGGTCCTGAGGTTGGGAAGATGGTGAGGAAACAGGGTGGAGGTGGGGAGATAGCACTTCCTCTGCACCCTTTCCCCTTGGGCTCTCTCCCCAGCCACCTGGGAGACTGTGCAGGTGGGACTCCAGGGTAGGTGATGGCAGTGGTTGGTACCCTAGCCTTCTCGTGCACATCCCTGCTACCTCACACCAAAAAACCTTTTCTTAGACTACACAGACTAGGGATAGTCATGTTTCTCATCTCCCTCTGCCACCATGGAGCTTCTCAATGGGAGACTATTTTAGCTGATCTATTGTAACATTATCCACAGTTCCCCTTGGGGAAGTCCTTCTGAATGTCTAACCAGTGTGTCTCATGCTGCAGTCACTATTTTCTTCTTTCTTTGGCCTTAGAAGGCTGAAATGCAGTATTGCCTCTCACATAAATTAAACCCTTTGTTCCTATGCCTGAGCAATCATATTTGTATTCACCTGCTCACACTTCTGAATTTTATAACATGATAGAAGGCAGAGGATGAGGAAATTGAGACAAATTCAGGAAGAAGACAAAAAGGCAAGAACTTTCCCAAGACCAGGAGACAAAGACCCAAGGGTCCCACAATCTCAGTGGACAATTTCCTCTCCATAGAGAGGTGGCTAGGGCAGAGGGCTGCAGCAGATAGAGAGGTCTGGACCAACAGATGGGGGTGGGGGGGAGAGTGGCAAACAAAGAGCTAGACAGACAAAGGGACCATCAGCCAGGGACAGGCCAGACCGTCTTCCAGAGAGGCACCAGAGCCCAAAGAGAGGCACGTGCCCCAGGCTGGACACATGAGAAGGGCTCTCTGTCTGTCAGTTAGGGTCTCTCTGCTGGACTGTGTCTCTGGGGCTGGTTGATCACTGGGTCAGCATCTACCCATTTCCCTGCGAATCTGTGTTCCCCAGGCCCTGTTCCTTCCCTGTCAGTCTCCCTGTCTGTGTCCCACCCCAGCCGCTCCTTCCGTCTCAGGCCATCTTCCTGCCCTGCCCTGCCCTGAATCTCAGGAAGATTCAGACGCTTCCTGTGGGCTTTGGGAGGCTCCCACAGGAACCAGGCCAGTCCTCCAGGGATGGAGGGAGGGGCAAGGGCTCCAGCTCAGGGGACAGCTCCCAAGCCTGCAGAAGGAAAAGAGCAGTACAGGACTGTCCTCGAGTCGTCAGTCCAGGCTTAGCCAATGAGCCAGAAGGAGCCGCAGCAGGGAAGGTGAAAGGACTCTCTGCCCCACCCTCCTGTGGCTGGACCTCAGAAACAGCAGACTACTAGCAGGGGGTCTGGCTGGGAGTGGCTAATCCGGATGCTGTTTGCATCTCATCTGCATGTCCCTGATTCTCAGTCAGCTCTTTCCAAATCCGGCTCTGTCCACCTTATTCCAGCCTCTAGGGGAGTTGGGAGCAGACAGAAGGTGGGTAGGAGTGAGGGCAGAGTTCACACACTGGTGTCCATGAGTCTTTCTCCCACACCCCCTGCCAGCACAAGTCACATTCCTGCCCCGCCAGGGTCTCCTCCCCGCCCCCTTAGAGCCAGCCTCCCAACCCACCTGTGTGTGTCAGCCACACACTCTCCTCCAGACAGGACTTTCACTGTCCTACCTCTGACCTTCGCCCCATGTTTCCCCCAGCCTTTCCCACCCCTCTCTGTTTAGCTCAGCACTCCCGTAGTTTAAAGCCAGACACCAAGCCCTCCTCTTCCATGAAGACTCCCCTGGTCACATGGCCCAGGGTGATAGAACTACAGTTCTCAATACTGGAAGGCACTTCAACACCTGTCTTCAGGTAGATGATGCAATGTTATCCCCATTTTATAGATGAGGCAACTGAGGCCCAGGATCAGTGAAGTAAATTTCTCAGGACAGTATAGGCAACAAGCAGGGAGAAAACGGAAGCCCAGGTCACTCTTCTCACAATGTCTCCAGTCCTACCCTCTCCTTGTCATTCATTTGGCCAAGAGAAATGCCATGTTCTGAATCTTCTTGTCCGGCCAGTGAGCTAACCATTAAACGTTGTTACTTAACTCTTTATGGATTGGGATTCTCGTCTCCCACAAGTTCCCTGGGCTCCAGCCACACAGAACTCCCGGCAGGATCTCTAATTCCCCTTGGCCTTTCTTGGCAACATGTCTTTGTCCTCGGTGGTCCCGCTGACAGGACTGCCTTTCTTCTCGCCCCATTATGAGTGGGGGATACTCCAGTTCATCCCTCAACGACCACCTCCTCCAGCACCTCCCCTGATATTCCTCCTGGGCTCCCAGCACTATATTTAAGCCTCTGAGACAGCACTCGTCACACCGCTGCTGACAGCCCAGCCTCCCACCTTCGTCACCAGTGTTTCAAGGGCAGACACCATCATGTCCTGTTCAGCTCTCCCTCCAGAGCACACATTGTTTAATTGGACCAGATTTCATCACCATCTTCCTTCCCTGACCCAGGCCCATGGAACAGTGGCATCGAGCTACTGGGGAAGTCAACAAAGAGCTGGGCCAATGTGCCAGCGGAGAAGTCCCGGGAGACAGCCCAGGGGTGCAGGATATGCATGTCTTGACTTTCTAAAGAACCCCTCTCACGTCACCAAACTTAACTTAATGCTGACTGACGGACTGAATGAATGAATAGAGGAAGGTAGAGGAACAGAGGAGTAGACTGAAGGGGAGAAGGAGAAGAAGGAAGAACAGAGGTGGATGAGGGATAGAAGGGAGAAGAGTCAGAGGACAACAAGGAAAGAGGGAGAGAGGAAACAGAAACAAAGAGAAGGGGGGAACCTGAAGTTTTGATCCTCAAGCATGTCCAGCAGAGACCCCAGCCTTGGGCCTTAGTATCATTCCTGCCCCCATTTTCCTATCTGGAAAATGGGCACATCTCCCCTTCTCCAAGAACAAGTGAGGCTGGGGAGGGGTGTGGAGGATGGAAGCACCTGCTGTGCTGAGTCTCCTGAGGCCCTTCCACACACACTGTCTTCCAAAGCTCACCAGAGAGGTAGGAGTTTTTATTCCCACCCTACAGATATAGAGGCTGAGGCAGAGAGGTCTGCCATTTGCCTCCATGAAGTGGGCAAGGCCCCTCTCCCCCCACAAGCTCAGAGCCCTCTCAGCATTGCAGATAGACCAGAAAGAGTTAGATGACATTTCACGTCACAGTTGGAAAGTTGAGGTGCACAGGGCAAAAGGGGGTCAGTCACTTCCACACCCTGGGGGGGAGTGTTGTTGTGGTGTCACCTCCCATCCCAGGAATTGCCGCCCCCCCGCATCAGCTTAGTCTTTGCCTAGTAGGTCGATGATGTTCAAACTAAGAATCTAATGACCTAATGGGCTCTGAAGAGACATTTAAAAGGATCCAGAAAACTGCTCTGTCATTTCATCCTTCCCTCTGCCAGTGACCATCTGGCGAGGGAGTAACAGGAAGAAATGGCTCAGATATTTTCCTTTGAGAAGCCCCACATAGATCTCTTCCCATCCCCGAAGCCCAGGATCAGCAGCATCCGTGGTTCTCTGAGGTTTGGACATGCACAGTGGCAAGCAACTGTGCCCAGCCCTCCTCCTCTCTAACCCCACTGGGGAAGTATAGCTGGCGGCTGTGGGTCACAGAGGTCTTTCCCCAACGCACAGAACAAGAGCCCCTTCCCAGATGAGCAGCCAGCCTCCCTGTTGTCAGCCTCCCTCAGATACTAAACCCAGTGGTTCACATCCCTCTCTGCCAGGAAGTCCCTCCTAATGTATAGCTTACATGTTTCTTGCTGCTGCCTACCCAATCCTCAGCTGTGAGGGTAGAGCAAAGTCTGAGCTTAATGGCCAGGGGATGTGGAAGAGAGTAAGTTCTTCAGTTCAAGCCTGGGAGAAGGAAGGAGCGGTAATGCAAAAAAGGGGGAGCAGGAAGAGGAGGAGAAGCTCACTCAGCCTGATCTCTTCCACCTAGTAGCAATAGAAATGGAGGGTAGACAGCTGCAAGGACTTCCTGACAGAGAAGGGAGTTACTTCTGGAATGGGTTTATGAAAGGCAAAGGCTGAATCCCCTCCAGCGGCCTCCCAGCCTGGCAGAGACCCTTCCGTGGCAGCTGCAGGAGGATGGCCAGCACTTCCAGAAAATCTCAGGGTGCTGGGGCTGCTGGGAATCCTTGCAGCTCCAGTGGAAAGGAGAAAAACCTGGTCCTGGAGCCCCCTTGTGGCCACAGGGAGGCAGGACAGGCAGCTCTGCCTCCAGCCCCCTGAGAGCAGTCGGTGCCCAGCCTGGCCCAGGGGAGGTAGCCCTTGGTGTCCCACCTTCGGAGAGCAGAAGACAGGCCCAATCTGCAGCCCAGAGCTCATCACACCCACCAGCTGACCCCAGGGGCAGAGACCAGAAGGGCCTGAAAAGGGGAGGGACAGTTGGAGTAAATAGTGAGAACACTGGTGCCAGAGCAGGGACAATGGGCAAGGCCAGAGTAGAAGGTGCCTCAGCCCATCCTTCAGCATCAGTAGGGCTCTGAGGAGCCCATGAGCACTGAGCCCTCCCCCAGCATCCATGAAGAGGTCAGAGGACAGGGCTTGGATTCGTGAAGAAGAGAAACTAGGGAAAGGAAGAGGATCGGTTTCTCCCTGGGATCCACAGCCTC